CTACATCAACTAAAGTGGCTAAGTAAGTGTTACACTGTGCGCTGTCTTACTTTGTGTGATTGTGCAAGTTGTGTGCTGCGTATTACTGTATGTGATGGAGCTAGTTGTGTACTGTGTCAGACTGTGTGACATTGTGTTAGTTGTGATGGAGCTAGTTGTGTACTGTGTCTTATTGTGTGCGAAGGAGCTAGTTGTGTACTGTGTCAGACTGTGTGACATTGTGTTAGTTGTGATGGTGCTAGTTGTGTATCGTGTCTTATACTATGTTATGGTGCTAGTTGTATACTGTGTCTTACTGTGTGAGATGGTGCTAGTTGTGATGGTGCTAGTTGTGTACCGTGTCTTATACTATGTTATGGTGCTAGTTGTATACTGTGTCTTACTGTGTGAGATGGTGCTAGTTGTGTACCGTGTCTTATACTATGTTATGGTGCTAGTTGTATACTGTGTCTTACTGTGTGAGATTGTGTTAGTTGTGATGGTGCTAGTTGTGTACCGTGTCTTATACTATGTTATGGTGCTAGTTGTATACTGTGTCTTACTGTGTGAGATGGTGCTAGTTGTGATGGTGCTAGTTGTGTACTGTGTCTTACTGTGTGTGATGGTGCTAGTTGTGTACTGTGTCTTACACTATGTTATGGTTCTAGTTGAATACTGTGTCTTACTGTGTGAGATGGTGCTAGTTGTGATGGTGCTAGTTGTGTACTGTACTCACCTAGTTCTCACCTAGTTGAGGTTGCAATGCTGCTAACCATGACAACACTTTCCACCCAGACAACACCATCCTTCCTGACAACACTCTCCTTTCTGATGACTCTATTCACACTGACAACACAGTCCTCCCTGACAACACTGTCCACACTGACAACACTGTCCACACTGACAACACTGTCCACACTGACAACACTGTCCACACTGACAACACAGTCTATACTGACACTGTCCACTCTGACAACACTGTCCAGCCTGACAACACTGACCCGTCCCTACCCACTGACGCCTATTTAAGCTCCAGTCTCCTTGCATGTGCTCCAGTATCACTACAACTACGGTGCTTTACACACTAACTCCAAGACTGAGGGACTCATTACCTCACCTTTTGTATATAGTTCTACTGTCTTCAAGTGATGTCCTAGAATCTGTATTGATAAAGCAACTGGATGGCGAAACGTCTACAATGAAGATACCCAGATGTTGTACATGTGTCTAATATTCATCAACACTGTCCTCACTGACAACACTGTCCATACTGACAACACTGTCCTCCATCACAATTCTGTCCTCCCTGTCAACACTGTCAACCCTGACAACTCTGTCTGCACTGACAACACTATACACCCTGACAACTCGTCTACCCTGAAAAATTGTCCATACTAATAAAACTGAAAACCGTGACAACACTGACAGCCCTCTCCACCCTTACAACACTGACTTCCTTGACAACACTGTCCACCCTGACATCACTGATATTGTGATGACAAACATGGTGGTGATGGTGACAGTATTGTGTATCACTACAGAAGTAATGGTGACAGTATGGTGTATCTCTACAGTGGTGATGGTGACAGTATGGTGTATCTCTACAGTGGTGATGGTGACAGTATGGTGTATCTCTACAGTGGTGATGGTGATAGTATGGCGTATCACTACAGAAGCAATGGTGACAGTATGGTGTATCTTTACAGTGGTGGAGAAAGTATGGTGCATCACTACAGTAGTGATAGTGACAGTATGGTGTATCACTACAGTGGTGATGGTGACAGTATGGTGTATCACTACAGTAGTGATAGTGACAGTATGGTGTATCACTACAGTAGTGATGGTGACAGTATGGTGTATCACTACAGTAGTGATAGTGACAGTATGGTGTATCACTACAGTGGTGATGGTGACAGAGTGTTTTATCACTACAAAAGTGATGGTAACAGTAGGGTGTATCCCTACAGTAGTGATAGTGACAGTATGGTGTATCACTACAGTAGTGATAGTGACAGTATGGTGTATCACTACAGTGGTGATAGTGACAGTATGGTGTATCACTACAGTGGTGATGGTGACAGTATGGTGTATCACTACAGTAGTGATGGTGACAGTATGGTGTATCACTACAGTAGTGATGGTGACAGTATGGTGTATCACAACAGTGGTGATGATGGCATTATTGTGTGTCACTGCAGTAGTGAGGGTGAAAGTATGGTGTATCACCACAGTAGTGATGGTGACAGCATGATGTATCACTACAGTGGTGATGGTGACAGTATGGTGTATCACTACAGTAGTGTTGGTGACAGTATGGTGTATCACTACAGTAGTAATGGTGACAGTATTGTGCATCACTACAGTAGTAATGGTGAAAGTATGGTATATCACTACAGTAGTTATGACAGTATGGTGTGTCACTACAGTAGTGAGAGTGACAGTAAAGTTTATCACTACAGTAGTAATGGTGACAATATGGTGAATCACTACATAGTGATGACAGTATGGTGTGTCTACAACAGTATGAGGACAGTATGGTAATAGCACTACAGTAGTTATAGTGACCATATGGTGTATCACTACAGTGGTCCACCTCGGTCATACCTGCCTAACTCTTTGGAGTTAGCGTGGCTATACCTAAGCACCATGCTTGTTGTAGTGTTTTAGAATCTTCAGGTTCAAGTGTTGAAGAAGGAGATTGTCTACTTCTTCAGGAGGAAAATAGGAAGCTGAAGCCTTCACATAGATGAGTTTTGGAGTGATGTGAGAAGGCATTTAGCTGTAAGGAAGGAATGGTCAGCCAGCAGTGATAGTGGCAGCCGCCTTAAGTGGCAATGGTTCACAGTCCAGGAAGAAGGAAGATGATGAGAGTATAATAGAGAAGATGTGAAGGGTAGGAAATCGATTCTCTGTTCTCCAAGACGAGTGTAAACTTAAGTGGTTAGTGAGGTTGAAGGTACCACTGATTCCCCTGCTAATCAAGGTAACGAATATTTTTAAAAGTAGGAGCATTCTCAGTAAAGTAATATGGACCGTGCATTTTGTAACAAGGACAGAAAGTCAAGACAGAGAGTGTGTCTTCCTGGAGCTGGTGTTGGAGACAATAGTCAGCAGATTGGATAATAATGCCAGTTAAGGGAACAACCCCATAATCTGTCTATGCTGTGGGTAATGACACTGGGAAGGGCAGGATGAGAGAGGACTGTCGAATAAGGTAGTCAACCATAGAAGTTAGTCAGGTCTAAGGAGGATCCCAGTCTAGAAAGGGAGTGGCAATGACTGGATATCTAGTAACAATTGGTATAAATTGCTGGCTAGACAGGTACTGCCAGGCACTCTGCAATTCCCATACATTGATAACGGGACCTATTCTTTGGGGCAAACTTATAATGTATGCAAGGGAATGGGGTTCATCTCTCTGGGATGGAGTTTTGCATTACCCCAAGATTTATTTGTTTCAAATGAGAGGGTAATTGTATTGACCTGTCCCGGAGTTTTAAACTGATAGATTATAGATGTATTGGTGTTTGAGTGGAAACAATCAGGCTGCAGCATTAGGTTAAAAACAGCAGTTATTACCGGTATACCTCAAGGGATATGTTTAAAAACAACATTCAAATAAGTTGCTAGTAATTAACAATTCAATTGATCAAGATCAAACAAAAGAGATAGTAAGGACGACGAGTGACAAGCCAACCTTTTTTTATAAAGTTTACTATACAAATAGTAGGATTATAAGAAATAAGATAGAGAAGCTAAGATTACTTGCAAGTGTAGTAAAGTGAATAGTATATTATTGCTATAAACACGAGACCTGGTTCAACCTGAAAGATAGAAGAAGTGCCTTCTGAATGCAGACATACAGGGAAATTAAACTAGTTCACAAGCAGATAGGTCAACAGGAAGGGTGGTGTGTGGCGATGTAATAGTCAGGAGAAAATTTAAAATGGTTGTAGCTAGACATGAAATAAGATAAGAAACATCGAACACAGAATCTGTTTGGCTACAGTTATCTCGAGGAAGCGGACAAATAATTGTTGGGTGTGTTTATAGTGCCCCCAAACCTTGATTAGGGATGCAGTAAAGCTTGTTTATGGGGCAATTCATAATGCATCTAGATGTGAAAAAGTTGTGATAATGGTATAATTTTAACTTAAATCAAATTGATTGAACCATAAGACAGGAAAGTCTTGAGTCTAGTGAATTTCTGATACGGTTCGAGGATTGCTTATAGAACAGGTTTGACAGAACTCAACTAGAGGAAGCAATCTGCATGACTTGTTCTTGCCAACAACGATGTCACAAATGTAAGAATCTTGAGTTAATATGAGCTTGGAAAGTGATCACAAAGACACTTAGTTTCCAATATATCATTGGAATTACTAGATAAGTGCAATCAAATCACTGTCCCCAGATTTCGCTTGGAGCCGACTTCATGGGTCTGAAAAATTAATTGGTTGGGGCTAAATTGGGATGTCCTGACAATGGTTCAGGTAGGTGATGTCTTGGTCGCCAATAATAGACGTTTTCCAGAGCATGTTCTAGCTGCTCAGACAACTTTTTGTTCCAAGTGAAGGAAATTAGATTCTAACAAAAATGGTCCCAAATGGATGAACAATAATTAAGAACATCTCATTGGTCAAAAGGAGCATATAGTAGCGTATCAAAAGAGGGATGGGCAGTTAAGAAATCAATATATTCAATTAAAAAGAGACATAAAGAAAGGAATTAAGAAAAGCAAAAAATGGAAATAAGGAGACAAAGGACCCAAGGATTTCAAGACTAAACCCTATAGGGCTCTTTCAGGTAGACAGAAGTAAGGATTAGAGACAACTTTGCCCCTTAAGATTAACTCGGTCAATCACTGTCAGTATAAGGATAAAGTGTGAAATTTCTAAATACTACTTCCTCTCATTTTACACTCCCAGGAAAATCTAGCGATAATCCTAGAAATAATGATTATGTAAACAGGATGATAATAAACTATGTATGATTACACAGTAACCGTGACATGGCCTCAGACAATAGAGAAACTAAAACCGAACAAATATCCCCAGCCTCTGATGAACTGTTTGGCAAGGTATTAGAAGGAATGTAGTATGAGGAACTTAGATACCTTTGGCTTGTTTAAATCTTTTAACATATCACTACAAATTGGCATAGTGCCTGATAAGTGAAAATGGCAAATGTAATACCTATTACAAGGCAGGTGACAGGTCCTTGTCTTCGAACTATATACCAATAAACCTTACTCCATAGTGGGAAAATTTATGGACTCAAAAAATTGCCGAAGCAATTCCATAGCCAATCATGACAGGCACATATTGATTAATGAAACTCAACACGGTTTTTTTTTTTTACAAATGGCGTACCTCGTCTTAGTAATTTACTAACATTTTTTCAATAAGGTGTTTGAGGATGTAGATCATGGTAATGAATATTGATGTTGTGTATATGGACTTCATAAGCTTTTCGATAGAGTCACACAAGATGCTATTGAGGAAACGTAAGGCACCCGAATAGGAGGAGAAATTTTTCCTGGGAAGAGGCAGTGGCTGACAAATAGACAACAGAATAGTTTGCATAAATGGGAGAAAACTAGGAAGGGGACACTCAAAATGGTGTTACCTCATGGGTCATTGTTTGGGCCCCGTTGTTTGTACCGAGTTGTACATAAAACACTTGATGTGGAATAAAATAGCGACATAAAGAAAATTGCTGATGACACCAAAATAGGCCGTCCAATTTCGTTACTAATTAGGACGCTAGAGCACTCCAGATGATTTGAATAGACTGAAGCAATTGTCCGAGAAGTGGCAGATGCAGTGTTATATATTGAAAAATGCAAAGTATCTAATGTTGACAGTTAATAACCCAGTCCCATATAAAGTAAATTATGTAGATCTTAATACTACTGAATATGAAATGGATTTAGGATTCTGGTGTAGCAGTTAATCTAAAACCAAGACAACAGTGCATTAGTGTTTGCAATAAAGCTAAAAGAATACTTGGCTTCAATCTAAAGTGTAAATAATAGAAGTCCTCAGGTGTTCTTCAACTCTATGCATGTATATCCTTGGTTAGGACCTATTAAACTATGCTTGCTCAGTCTGATCAACTGTATTACAGAATGATATAAATGCTCTGGTAAACGTACTGGGGAGGATGAACAAAGATAGATCCCTTTGTATCAGAAGTCTTTTCCCTATGAGTATGAGACTGATGTCCTAATCCTGCACTCTCTCGAAAGGCGTAGAACTAGGGGGGATAAGATTCGAGGTGTAAATGGAAAAGCAATTAAAAAAGGGGATGTAAATATGCGTGCCTGAAAATTTCCAGCCAAGACAGGGCTCCAGCAATGGTTTCAAGTTGGAACAATTCAGGATTCGTAAGGTTTGATAAATAATTAGTGGATGAGTGTAACAAAACTCCCGATACCCAGTTTTTAGTCAGTGCTAAGAACGTTGTTGATAGTTTTAAAATAGATCCTGATAAATACATGAGTGTGGATGGGTGGGTGTGAGTTGACGAGACTAGCTTGGTGCTGCGGTCTGGTGCAAGTGCTCCATCCTTGAGTGAGTGACCAACTGGGTGGGTTCATTGGCTAATCCATGGGGGGTCATTGTTTAATCCAGGGGGACATGGACCTGCCTGATGGGTCATAGGCCCTGTCGCATTGTTTCCTTCTTTTCTTAATGTTCTTATTTTCTTATGTACAGTAGTAAAAAGTGTCAGCAGCAGCAGTGTCAGCAGCAGCCATGACTTCACTACCCAGCACAGAAATGTGTGCCTGCACCTGACTGATGTGAGTGTATGGATATAGCCAAGTCATTGCTTGTGACCTGGCCCAGAAGCTACAGCCACCAGGAGGGTGAGTCCATCACTGTTATTCTTGTATTGTAAGTGAAGTGATCCAGGAGCTACAACCATCAGGAGGGTGAGTCCTTCACTGTTGTTCTTGTGTTGTAAGGTGGGTCCCGGACAACAAACGCACCAGGGTAGTGAGTCCTTCACTGTTATTTTCTAGTGTTATGAGTGAGGTGGTCCATGAGCTACAACCACCAGGAGGGTGAGTCCATCACTGTTGTTCTTGTGTTGTAAGGTGGTCCAGGAGCTACAGCCACCAGGAGGGTGAGTCCATCACTGTTGATCTTGTGTTGTGAATGAGGTGATCCAGGAGCTACAACCACCTGGAGGTGAGTCATTCACTGTTATTCTTTTGTTGTGAGGTGGCCCAGGAGCTACAACCACCAGGATGGTGAGTCCTCAACTGTTGTTTCCGTGGTGTTGAGAGTGAGGTGGTCCAAGGAGCTACAACCACCAGGAAGTGGAATCTTCACAGTTGTTTCTTGTGTTGTGAGGAGTCCAGGAATTACAAACAACCAGGAGAGGCGAGTCATCACTGTTGTCCTGTGCTGAGATGAGTGTGGTCCAAGGGGCTACAACCACCAGGTAGGTGATTCCTTCAACTGTTTGTTTCTTGTTTGTGGGTGAGGTGGGCCAGGAGCTACAACACCAGGAGGGTGAACCTTCACTGTTTTGTACTGGTCATATGGGGGTTCGATAATGTGGAATTTGGTTAAGAACACTCGTTGTAGGCAGGTTAGTACGTAATAATTATAACGGAAAAGTATGGGAAGCAACATCACCCGCTCTGCTCTCTGCTCTCTATCTTAAGACTGTACTCATGAATTGGGTCCTAAGGGTGAGCGGACATTCAAACATGCGTATGGTCAGAACAACTGAATAAAAGTCAGTGATTCATAACGGGTGGTAGTGATCATACTACAGGTAACTGTTTACTGTACTACTGGAACTGAACTACTGACGCTTGGCGACGCTAACGTATGTTGACCCGACAAACAGCATAATTACAAACTAGAGATTGTCAGGAGGCATACGGTTTGGGCTGATTCTTATACAATTCAAGTACACAACAAATGAACATTATAATATAAACGTAGAATATTTGGAATGGAAGCTAATGTAATTGTCTATAATGAAACTTACTGAATGAAACTGTAATGATTAGCACAAGTATTATATAGCACAACCTCCTCGAATGAGACTCAACTTTGGGGATTAAACAATTAGAAAGTGATAAAAAAAATATTTGATCAATCAATCTGTATTCATGATCACTACGGATTCATGATGACGATATATTATCAAAGAAAGAAATGTTTAACAGAAAAGCAGTCCTTTGTGCACTGAAAATCTAGACTGTTATAATCTCCGAAATCATAGAGAACGTGAACACCAAAAAAAAAAATTCATGAATATTGTTAAGTGATACTGAATTATTCCATCTAAACAGGTTATTTACATTAACCCAACTCAGCTAGGTGATATTTGACATATGCAGAATTGGTGTCATCTCTGAGAGGATCAAAACTCAGTTGCACTGGCTAACTCATGCGTATATTGTGAAGCGAAATCTGAAAGGTAGTTACAAATGATACTTGATATTTTCTCATACCTGTTGTGTATGTAGGAAACTGACAATACAGGTTTGAATCATCTAGACTGAGTAATTAGGAAGGTAGGAGAATACAGTAGACATGAAGGATTGGTGTCAGAGTCAGTCACATTAAGTCTGGGTTTGAACAACAATTATCATCACAAAATAACCTTCATAAGAACTAAATGCTATTCTCTGTAATGACCAGTACTGAATTCTCTACCCTTATACTTATTGCCAGTGATATTTACAAAACTACTCGATATGGACCATACCCACTTTAGAACAAGCTTAGGCTTTGCGAGACGTTTTGGTTAAAGTTAGTCAGCATAGCTCTCCAAAACGCTTCCTTTAATTTTGGACGGCCATTGCTCGAATGTATGTAGCGACCTCTAGTAAATTCTGCTGTTGATTTATGAAGTGTTTTCACGGATTCCTACTAAAAAACACTTTGGAGCTAAGCTGGTACGAGTATGCTATGAAAATCATCAGAGTTGAAATTTGGTTTCGGAGTTAGAAATAACAACTCATAAGGCAAACGATTTATCTACACCATACCATGCATAATGCGGAGTGCACCTATAGAAACATTGTAAGCAGAAATTTAAAGCACAACTGCAACATCAGTATAACTTCAAACCCAAGTTTTCACTGTTGGATTGAATAGTGGCTCTCAAGACATCAAGTACTTTCTTATTGGTTCGTTCCGCTAACCCAAGCTGGCAGGATGGAAGAGGGGAACAATGGGGGATTAGAGATCTTGTACTAAAATGTACACAACATTTTCAAGAATTTCAATACAGAATTTCACCTCCATTATCTGATACTATGGACTATAGGGGTGTTATGCCTGCAATAATGACTGGGGGGTATCTTTAAACGCATTAGACTACTGTTCTCGGAGTCTTATCTGCAATAGGAACTAACTCGACAATATGCGGTGAAATGGTCTACCATAACACACAGATGTTGTTACCTCCCCAACCCTTGAGGGAACATTGGAAATTAGTAATCAAATCATAGCGCAACTCTTTCCCAAGGTTCGCGTAGTAGTTGGATACACTTGGATGGATTAGGACCATTAGCATTGCCTTTTATGTTCATGCACCACACATTTTCCTAACATACTCAGAAATATCAGTTGCCATACTAGCCAAAAGTATTTCAATTGACAAATGTTCTGGCTTGTTTTAGCTGAACGATCCAACCAAGGGTGTGCAAAAAACCTGGTACATCTTGAACTAGCTTAAGGCCTACATTCGACTAGTGACTGTGGAATTACTAACTGGTTATACTCGTTCGCTAGGAGTACCCAACTCGGCTGTTTCGAATACAGTTATTCTCTTGGTTCATGACAAAGTCACTGTTGGGTGCAGGTGCTTTCACAGTCAGAATAAGATCTCTTTTGCCCTGGAGCAGGAATCGAATCATCCAGAACACAAGGGATCGGTTCTATCTTAACTGAGAGGAATGACACAAACTCGGTTGGAGTGGATGACTCCCCCTCCTCCCCCCCCCTCCCCCCCGGTTGAAAAAAGTTAAACAGCTATAAAGGAGACAACGCAATATGAGCAATTGGGAGAACGAAATCTACAATCTCAAAACCTGCAAGCACAGGAGAAAAGAAATGAACAACG